CCCGAGATCCCCCCCCAGCCCCACCTGAGACCCATCCAGATCCTCTCTCTCTCTCTCTCTCTCTCTTTGCAAATTCAAAAATTGAAAAAGAAAATAAATTTCAAACACTTTGCAGGTGGGTTCTAGGTTTTGCAGGTTTGGGGGGTCGGGTTGAGCTGTGGGCTGGGTTGGTCTCTGGGTTCTAAGGGGGTGGGAGTGGGAGGAGGAGGAGGAGGGGTGGGGGGAGGAGTTGTGAGAGAGAGAGAGAGAGATTTATTTTAAAGTTTTTTTTTTAAAATTAATTAATTAATTAATTAATATTTATTTATTTAATAATATATATATGGACCACGTGGCATCATATGAGTGAGTCTACGTGGCACATTTGTATATGAAAGAGGTAAGAAAATCAACTTTGTGTATGCGACTGAGATGAAAAAAATTTGATGTATCTAACTTTAAAAGTCGTTAAACTTTACCGTAATAAAGTGAAAATTACCCTTGATTTTGTTAGAAGCTAAGCAAATTTATGTTTTAATATGCACTCCATCCTACTAGAGCTTGATCTTCACTGAGCTTTGTTACACCCGTCACTAACGACGTCGTTTTGATTTGGATGAAGCAGCTTGTTTTTTAATCCGGATCCTGGCAACTAGTTAACCCATCCCACCTACCGAAAATCACAACGGTATGGAACGTTTCCTCTTTGACCGTTGGATGCAAAATCTTTCCAAGCAACGGCCATGATCATCCCCCGCTTCACCACGTGTAAACTTCTGATTGGCATGTGAGAAACCCTCCATAACCAGCATGGCATCTCATCTGCCTTATCAAATCCTCTGCGACAGTCTCCAAGCTCGAGGACAATGGTAGCCATTGCCTGTTGTTTCAGTGGTCTCCCCACGCCATCAATAAGACCTCAAGGACTCGTTGGGCATTTCCCAAATCTTCATTGCCCCTCTCTCAAGTTTGCCCATTTGAGAACTAACTTCAGTACACCCATGGCCACAACCCCTTTCCAAGTCTCTGCATCATCATCGTCATCCACCATTGGTCTAATCTCACTCTATTTTTCCCATTTCTCACTCAAATTCTTTTAAAGCTTGTATTTTTTTTATTTGGGTTTGTTTAATTTTTGGAAATTTGTTGATGGGTTGGTGGGTGAAGGTGCACCAGATGAAGAAAAGGAGGCAGCCTCTTCTGTGAGGGTGGGAGCCAATGACCTGCTGATTGTGGGGCCAGGAGTTCTCGGGCGCTTAGTGGCACAAAAATGGCGGGAGGTATTTTTCGTATCTTGGTCTCTATGTGATTATTTCAGGGATACAGTGTTAAGATTGTGTTTAGTTTAGTAATTAGTGGTTAAAGTAATTAATGTTTGTAGGAGCATCCTGGGTGTGAAATACATGGGCAAACAATGACAGTTGATCACCATGAGGAGTTGAGTAAGGTGGGTATTAATCCATGTTTGAAGGGGACCAAAACCACCCACAAGTTTCCTTATGTAATCTTTTGTGCTCCACCATCAAGAACCTCGGATTATCCTGGTGATGTTAGGTGAGTGCATGGAAATTGAATACATGCTTGAAAGTGATAATTGCATAGTGAGTGTTTCATGTTTGTTGATTTTTAGCAAGTACTATCTATGTTGTGGTAGAATCAATTTGTAATTTTGGCAATGACTTATTTAATTTAACTGTAGAAGATTCATGGGTTGGGCTTTTTTGAATAAGCAGACTGGCTGCATTGAACTGGAATGGTGAAGGTTCTTTTTTATTTACTTCAAGCTCTGCACCATATGACTGCAACGACAATGGTCCATGTGATGAGGTAGACACTTATTTCTGCTAGTGGTACCAACTCTTTACTTTTTTTTTCTTCTTATATTGACTCAGACAGGTTTTCTTGTCCATGTATTATGTGGGTTTTGTCTTTTGAATTAATGCTGTTGCTGCCAAGTTGCTTTATTGATGATGTTCTGAATAATCCTCTGCCTCTTTCCTTCTGTAAACTTGTTGGCTTTTGAAAATGTGTTGGACTTAGAGTGTTTTGTTTGTCATAGTGTTCATATTCTTCTTTGCAGGACACTCCAGTAGTACAGCCCGTAGGTATTAGATTAAGCACTCAAACAATAGAACATAGAAGAATATAAGAGATCGAGGAGACGAAAATATAGATCGAAGGGATGAAAGAAAGGACCGAAATCAGAGAACCGAGAAGGAAGGACAGAAATCACATAGTTTTAAGAGAAGGTTTACTCAATATCCAAATCTGAATTTTAAAGAACTACATGGGGTTATTTATAGCAAACTAAAACCTAGACATAATAGGATAAAAATCCCTTGCTTAAACAGAAATCCCAACCCAAATAAAATAGGAAACTTAAAACTAGAAATCTGGAAAAGTAGAAATCCACTAGAATTTGGGAAACTAGAGAATCTAGGAAACTAACAAATATATTAGGAAACTAATAAATTGAGGTCCTACGCGTTCTGCATCAGTTTTGTTTGTCATAGTGTTCCTATTCTTCTTTGCAGGACACTCCAGCAGTGCCAATAGGGAGGAGCCCCAGGACTGATGTCCTTCTTAAAGCAGAAAAAGTAGTGCTGGAGTTTGGGGGTGTTGTTCTCAGATTGGCGGGGCTTTACATATCCTTTATGAAAGTCGAACTCCGAAAGATTATTTGTGCAGTAGAGGAAAGCTTTCACAGGTTTGGGTGCATCTTAGTATTTTTCATATTTGAAAGTGACCTTAACTATGCCTACAAATCAGATAGAGGTGCACATGTTTATTGGTTACACAAGGGGATCGTAGAAACTCGTCCAGATCACATCCTGAATCTTATACATTATGAGGTGACTGAATCATCCTACTGTACTCGTGTCTATGATAAATTATTCAATATAGTTCTACTAATATCCATTCCTTTCTTTCATTATATTTAGAATCTGTTTTTCTTTTTGGTTTGAGTATAACGCTTTTAAATATTTGTTTCTGTATTATCATTCTCAGCAACATATTTCTTGTTTCATTGCATTGTCAGGATGCGGCTTCCCTCTCTGTTGCAATCTTGAAGAAGAGATTACATAACAGGATCCTCTTGGGTTGTGACAATCATCCATTGTCCAGGTCCTAATCTTAAAGATGCATGACGGCCTTCAACATTGTTGAGTTGTGTTGACTTTATTGTATGGTCAACTGGGCAGCAGTTGCATGTTTTGTGTGTGTGTGTAGCGATGCGATTGATTCATGTTGGTTTAATTTCAAACGATGCACCCAAAGTTTTTAAAAGGGTTGGGGAAACCCATCTTCCACTCATCGTACCGTCATGTTTTTCAAAAAGTTTTATCCGCTTTGTTGATTTGACAGTTGGATTTAATGCTACTCATGCTTAATATCAAATTTCAAGTGAATCAAATGCCTCTTAACCATTCCATCAATATTGTATTAAAATTAGTATTTTTTGTGTATAAATTGAACCCTTTTTTCATTGCGTGTTTGTCTTATATTGAATCTATTTGAAGTTGTTTTACATTATGTGTTTGATTAAATGCTAAAGCTAGTGGTTGGATCAGCCTAAAACTGGCAAGTTAACCTGATGTCAGCTCAATTTGTCATACATGTGCATGCAACGTGCACTTGCGGGCACACACACACTGCTAGATGGAAAGAGATACCCAGATTCTTATTATCATTTTGTTGTTTACTTTTGATCCTTAATTATACAAGTGAACTAGTGACATGAGCGTCTTTTGCCCTGCTAATATCTTTACAGGCAAGAAGTAATGGACTTGGTTACTAAAAGTGGGAAATTTTCAGGAGTGTTTGAGGGTTTTACAGGTAAGCTTCTTGCTAGTATTCCATATTTATATTAAAGGGGGGATCGATTTTCTTTTCAGTGTGTGAGAACATTTTGAATTTCCCTTATTCTTGTTTTGATATCTAAGAAAGAAATGTAAACATAATTTAATTGGGAACGTTAAAATGGAGAGAATAAAAATTAGTTATAAGAGAAAATAAGGCTCCAAAGTTCATTCTCACTCTTTCTAATGTTTCTCTCTATGTTGAAATCATTGAAACGTGGAAAATTGATAAAATTATCTCCATCTCTCTTTACTTCTCACCAGTTTTCCTCCATCCAAACACTGTATATATGGTGAAATTTAACTATATCATTAGCATGATGCCTTAGTGTGCTTCTTGTCGAGACTCGAGAAATGTTGAAAATTTAGCAAATTATTCCGGTTTTGAAACTCACCTCAGACTATTTGATGCTGTTTATGCAGGAACTACTGATCCTTTGGGCAAGAGATTAAACAACTCAAAAACTCGTGAAGAAATAGGGTGGGAACCAAAATACCCCAGTTTCTCTCAATTCCTTGAGAGTATTTGATTTACTACTAGCATCTATCTGCATTGTTGGGATTGGATTTAGTGGTGGGAAGTATTGGTTTAAGTTGACCCAAGTAATGTTTGCCATGGAGCTGCTCAGGGTCTTACATTTGGAAATACTTGCTGCAGTGGGCTCGCATCTGTAGAGAACTGACAATGCTTAACCTCCTCAGTCAGAATTATCTGGCCATTGAAGCTCTGCGGCGATGTCGAACATTAAACTTCATGTATCTGTGTACGGGCAGCTGATATATATAATTGGTCCCAAATTCAATGTTGGACCAGACCATATAAATCTCTCAAATGCATGAACACTTTTGTGAGTAAGTCTTTCTGCTACATAAGATATATTCTACTTGCTTATGTTGCGACCCACAAACTATATTTCTTCTTGATTGATTTACGGTCGATTGCGATTTGACTCAGATTTTTAGTGAGTAAAAGATTGATAATGCAAGTTGATTATGTTAATAAACCTTAAATATTTGTTTAATTATTGCAATTAATGTTACAAGTACTTTGCTGGACAAGCAAGTTTTCTGCTTCTCTTGTTTGATTCAGACACGATCCCTTCTTTACGGTTGACACTCTTTTTCATGTTTTGCTATTCGGTTTAAAAGCTTGTCCCCTGTGATAATTAAACTTTTATCTTTCAACTCACCAATTTCACAATTTGCCTGTTTTTTTCTCAAAAGAATTTTGTTTTAACATACAGAGAGAAGAGAGACAGATGAAGGGGAAAATACACAAAATGAATAAATAGTGAAAAACAATTCACAATGACCTTTACTTCTGAGTTTAATTTCATCTGTTCCTTACTTTCTTCCTTGTTTGTTCTCTCTTGACTCTTTCCTGTTTCCCTCCATCTTTAATTAAAAATTGAAAAATATAAACGCGACAGAAAGGATTCCAACTCTTGCAAAATTTTGGTTGTGAACAGATATGGTACTTTATTTGTTCATACTTTATCCAACTTTTAACTCGTTTAGTTATAACAACTAAGACTCTTTCACATTAGCAAAGGACCCGCTAGTATAGCTTCCTTAGGCAAGGTTTTAGGTTCGAGTTCTAGCATCTGTGTAGTGTGTGTGAGTTTTGTATATTATCTCCCCTCTTAATAGGAAATGTGTTTTTTAAATAAAATTGAAAAGCGTATGTGTAGTGTGTGTGAGTTTTTAATTCCATATGTTCCTTGTCCTTTCTCTCTTGACTCTTTCCTATTTCCCATTATCTTTAATTAAAAATTAAAAATATAAACATGACAGAAAAAATTCCAACTCGTGCAAAATTTTGGATGTGAACAGATATGGTACTCTATTTGTTCATACTTTATCCAACTTTTAACTCCATTTACTTATAACAACTAAAAGTCTTTCACATTAGCAAAGGACAGTAGTTTCGAGCAATTGCTCCCTGAGCAACATTTTGGGTTCAAGTCCTAGAATTCATGTAGTGTGTGTGAATTTTGTATATTATCGCTCCTCTTAATAAAAAAGGTCTTTAAAAAAAAAACTCTTTCACATTAATTAGCATTTAGAATTTGGCAAAATGCCGTCATTATTTGGTGAAATAAATTGTATCTAATTGAAGCAAAAGCTAACATGATTGAGCATAATTTGTTTAATAATGTTCAGATCTTGACTTATTAGGTGGGTAAGAGAGGAATTTTCCCGCACTTCGTCATGTTATCTAGAAACATAGGGTAGGAGATGATGCAATAATTAAACAAAGTGTTATTTCGAGGCAGGTCCAAAATAGAGTTCAAAATACTAAAGACTTCAAGTCAACTTGACTTAATAATTTAGTCTATAACTAGAAGTTGGGGATCCAAGAATTTCCAACCCCTCAAAATCACCCCCTCTCATACTCCATTTGCAAAAAGCTTTCTAGCTTTTGCAACTTTGCCTTGGAAGTGTAAAGCTTCAAGTTTTTGCAACTTTTGCCTCATAGTTCAGAGCTTCAAGCTTGTGCTTTGTAGAGGTGACATATATATCTATATTGCATATGGGGAAGTATTGCTGTTCTGAAGATGATGATAGTGGTATTGGTCTCGCAACAGTTCTGGTGGTGATTGTCCTACCTCTTGTCATTATGACTGTTTTCTCTCCACCACCGCGGCGTGGCCGGGTTGTTTGCCTGTATCGCTGCTTTTGAGTCTTGACCTCTCAGTATTTTTTTTAATCCTTTTTACTGCATAGAGGTGCTGCTAATAATCATGGTTGGTTTCATAGTTATATTGGTTCAATTTGATGTAAATCATATGTAATATGTGCTTGTGACAAGGTCTTGGAAACATGATCTTTTCCAGTTGTAATAAGACTTGGGAGGCAATTTATAAACTCATAATAAATTAGATATTGTTTTGCTCTCTCTAATTTTATGGTACTTGTTTCTGCTTTCATCTGCAGTCTTCCAAGTTCATTTCCTTATGATCCTGCTTCACAAATCACAATATTTAGCCAAGGGATTTTTCTTTTGGTGGCTTTGCCTCTTTTTTTTTCTTTAAGAGAAATGATTGGGATTTATTATTTTATTATTTAATATCTTTATTTTTTGTGGTAAGAAGTTTGGCCAAGAAGAAATTGCCCCGAGTATGAAACTTCCTTGGTTTTTCTTTGGCCAGAGAATCTTCCTCGATTGACTAACAACAAGACTTAGTCCTCAAAAAGTATTTGTCTTGAAAGTTCTAGTTGACTTCCAAAACTCTGCTTTTGCCTATGTGTGAATCCACAAAAAAGAAAAAAAAAAAAAATGTGTGTGTGAATGCTCAGAATTCCACATGGATTGAGTTGGCAGATAACTTACCCAATTTTACTTTTTCCTTGGTGATGACCCAACTGATTTTTGAAAGAGAAATTTGGAAAATATTGCTCTTTTATTATGCACACCCTAGGAATTGGTCATAAGGATGTAGATATATACACCTTCCAAACCAGAGAAAGAACCTCAATCAGCTGCATAACTTGGTTGGCTTGCACTTTTGCATAAAAAGAGGCTTGGAGTAATGGTCAAAACTTCTACAACTCCAACTTAATTACTTCTACCAACATTGATTAGCATGTTCGACCCAAAATAAAACATTGATTAGCATGTCTTACCAGCTGAAAAATGGTAATCTTTTATAGTCCAAACCTAGAAATTAGCATCTTGATGTGTATATTTATGTATAAAATTATTAACACAAAAATATGAATAGAATGAGCTTAAAATGACACACTCTTACATCTATGCTGTCTCCTCCCCTTGTATAGTTTTGTAGATCAAAATATTTCGGCTTTTTTATTTGGATTTATGCTAACTTAATTTTGAATTTTTATTTTATTTAACAACTATTGTTCATGAGATTTGAATCACCATTTATTTTATTTTATGTTTTTTTTTATTTTTTATTTTTGTGCCAAAATTAGGAGGGAGAAAGGGAAAACTCATATACACAGATACACCAAAAGTCTGGACGAATCCAACTGACATCCTATTGCTATATTTTATGTTTCTGAGTTTTTAGTTTTGGGAAATAATTTCAATTAATGTTTTTTTTTTTTTTGAGAAATAGAAACTGTAGAGTTACACGTCATCATTTATATCCACCTATCGTTTGGATCCTACTCTAAGATAGAGTGTCAGCTCCAAAACGACCATGAATTCCACTGAACTGAAACCACAAGCTCCTCCTCGCTGATCAACTTTCCTGAAATTGAACAAAAGAAGGGAAAAAAAATGTCACTGTGCTTCTCCTCCCTTGTATTCAATCTTCATTCAGCAAAGAACCAAAGCTTCTTAACACGTTTCTCTTCTCAGTTCACCAACCAAGCTAAGGTAAGCTCTGTTCCTTATGGTTCCCCATCTTCTCCTTTAAACTTATCTGAAATTTTCAAGTTTAGCAAAGAAAGAACAAAACCCATTTCAGCTTCAGCGACACCAACTGCTGAAACCACCTCTCCACCTTCATTCAGAGGCAAAAACCCAAAAGATATAAACATTTTGGTAGTGGGTGCAACTGGGTACATTGGAAAATTTGTGGTTAAGGAGTTAGTTAATAGAGAGTTCAATGTTATAGCCGTTGCTAGGGAGAAGAGTGGACTTAGAGGTAAGGTTAATAAGGATGAGACTTTGAATCAGTTGAAAGGAGCCAATGTGTGCTTTTCAGATGTTACCCATTTGGATACTTTGGAGAAATCTTTGGAAAACATGGGTGTTTCAATTGATGTTGTTGTTTCATGCCTTGCTAGCCGTTCTGGTGGTGTAAAGGACTCTTGGAAGATAGACTATGAGGCAACAAAGAATAGTCTTGTTGCCGGTAGGAGACGTGGGGCCTCACATTTTGTATTGCTTTCTGCAATTTGTGTGCAGAAGCCCCTTCTTGAGTTCCAGCGTGCGAAACTGAAATTCGAGTCCGAGTTGATCAGAGAAGCCGAAGAGGACAATGGGTTCACTTATAGTATTGTGAGGCCAACTGCATTCTTTAAGAGCTTGGGTGGCCAGGTTGAGTTGGTGAAAGATGGAAAGCCTTATGTGATGTTTGGGGATGGAAGGTTGTGTGCTTGCAAGCCAATTAGCGAGGCGGATTTGGCTTCGTTTATTTCGGATTGTGTGTTGAGTGAAAACAAAATTAACCAGGTTTTGCCTATTGGCGGACCCGGGAAGGCCTTAACACCATTGGAGCAGGGGGAGTTGCTGTATAGACTTGTGGGGAGGGAACCCAAGTTCTTGAAAGTGCCCATCGAAATAATGGACTTTGCTATCGGGGTTCTTGATTTCCTCGTAAAGATCTTTCCTTCAATGGAAGATACTGCTGAATTTGGGAAGATTGGGAGGTATTATGCAGCTGAGAGTATGTTGGTTTTGGATCCTGAGACTGGAGAATATAATGCTGAGAAAACACCAAGCTATGGTAAAGACACATTGGAAGAATTCTTTGAGACTGTGCTGAGGGAGGGGATGGCTGGACAGGAATTAGGGGAACAGACAATTTTCTAAGAAGTTGGGCTGTGGTAACAAGTTTGTACATTCACTTCCTCAATTGGTTCAACCAGTTTTGTACTTAGTCTGCTTTAAGGTATGCAGTTTCTTATCAGTACACCAACTGTATTCTGTATGAGTGACAAGCAAGTAATTATGATCATTGCTGTAAGATGCTTTACTGATTCTTCAATTACATCATCATAATTCATATCATCAAATTGTTTATTTAAGCCCATAATGTAATCACTTGTTAGATTTTAATGTCTTGCAAGCTGCAACCTGTAATTAGTCAGGTTGGGTACTGGATATACTTTTCATTTATTTTGTTCCTACGGTGCAAAATGCGTATCGATGTGGTGTACTTAATCTTCTTTCTAGGCAAGCTATGAAAAAGAATGAGC